GCAGGATTAACAAAAATCCCCTAAATCAATTCTCAATTGCCTTAATTCTTTTTGCAAATTGTCAGACCAAAAAATTAATTTGTCAAAGTCAAAAATTATTGTCTCCAAAAACTGCCCCACACATACTTCAAAAGTTTTGTCAAAACTATTCAATATGAAAATTAGTAATAGTTTTGGAAAATATCTAGGTTTTCCAATTACAAACACCAAGCCTAGACCTTCCGGTTACCAGTTCATCCTTGATAAGTTGGAAAACAAATTGGCCTCTTGAAAATTAAATTTTCTTACTATGGCAGGGAGAACAACTCTTGCAGCTGCTTCCGTAAATAGTATTCCTAACCACGTCATGCAGTATAACTACCTGCTTACTAAGATTAACAAACACATTGACAAAATCCAGAAAAATTTCATCTGGGGATCCACTATGAACTCAAAAAAATTCACCTAGTCTCTTGGGATACTTTGTCAAAGGACAAGGACAAAGGGGGGTTTGGCATCCACTCAGCAAAGGAAAAAAACCTAGTAACCCTAGCTAACCTCTCATGGAGACTCATACATAACTCCAAACTACCATGGTCTCAAACTCTTACCTCGCTTTATGGCTCCTCAAAAAATTTAAAAACAACTTCTTTTATTTGAAAAAGTGTAGTAAAAGGGTGGGAAGTTTGCAACAAAGGTTTAAAATGGATCCCACACACCAATTCTTCTATCAACATCTGAGAAACAAACTGGATCCCAAAAACAGGGACCTCTCACACCTCTTAGCAAAAAGCTTACAATCAAAGACACTTGGTCTAATAATAATTGAGACTTATCAAAAATTCCCTTTGACCTTCGTCAACACATTAAGAATGCCATCCTCTCCATTCATCCCTTCATAATACTCACGACTCCTGTTACTGGGAATTAACGGGCAATGGTATTTTTTCGTCAAAAAGTTACTACAAACTAATTCAATCAAATGAAATCAACTCGGAGGATTTTAGGTGGATTTGGGACGCTCACTGCACAAATAAGATAAAATACTTGCTATGGAAATGCCTTCATAATAGGCTGCCCACTCATTCCTACTTAAACCATATAGGCTTGAATATTGATCCTGTTTGTCCTGTATGTAAAAGAGAAGCTGAAACCATTGAACACATCTTCACAACTTGTAAAGCTGTTATAACCTATTGGTCAACATTGGGTTTAAGTTTTTCTCCCAGACATAATGGCATACACTGGCCCCATAGTATTAGAAACTAAAATCTGTCACCCCTTCCCCCTACCTTAAATGGGAGGACTTTTACCCTTTTGTCCTGTTGGAGTATTTGGCTAAACAGAAACAATAATAATCACTCTAACATGACCATGAATCAACCCCTCTCATACAATATCCCTAGCATTAGAATATAAGCTCCTCTCCACAAAGGAACATTTAACTGTCCACTCCCATACAATTGAGGTTACATGGCACAAACCGTCCCCAAATTATTTCAAGCTAAACATAGATAGAGCCTTAAAAGGAAATGCAAACTTGGGAGGCATGGGTGGAGTATTCAGAGACCATACGGGAAAGTGGATAATGAGTTATAACACTCATGCCCCTCAAGACCCCCCCTTCAGTCTGAATTGGAAGCCCTAAAGGAGGGACATAAAATTGCTCTGAACCATGGCTATACACCGCTGGTGGTAGAAAAGGACGCAACAGAGGTAATCAAAATATTACATTTTGATTGTGTCCCTCACAACTCGATTATTGTTATTTGTAGGTGGTTAATGCACTAACTGAGGTAACTGAAGATCAGCCATAACTTTCGGGAGGGAAACAAGGTAGCTCATAAGATGGCAAAGGAGCAAGCATGCAAGAAATCACCAGCTTTTTGATAAACGTACCCCGTTGGTTTTAAATAATTTAGCAATGGACAAGTATGTTTATGTGTATTTGGTTAAAAACATTAGTACTGATGTGTGTTGCAGTTTAGCCGAGATGGGAAATTTGAATGTCCTCAATGCTTGTAATTTCCTTAATGATGTAACTGATGGTACTCCGTAATGTCTAATATATTATCTTTGTTCTGTAAAAAAAAATAGTCCCAACTCATCAACTAAGCCATAAAATAATCTATATACTAACTATTAAAAGTATAATGAATGTTTGGTTTCCTACGAGGAAACTCCACAACAATTTTTGTATTCTTTGTCCTTTGTATTTCATTCAAAATTTTAACATTAAATATTTATTTAAAAGCTTGGATATTAAATTATATATCTTTTTTATTTTTAAAATTTAGTATCTATCATTAATTCTCGGAATAGTAATCATTGCTGGAAAAAGATAGTAATCATATGTTTGTAATAAGAAATTGATAGTCATTTATTTGAAAGCAAACGGTGAAAACATAGAAATATCAATAAAAAAATAAAAATGAATTTTTTATTTGACTATTAGTTTCAAGAGTTGTCAAAGAGGACATAAAGAAAAACTAAGAAACCAAAAATAGATATTGCATTTATTTATACTGCCACACCAGATTATAAGTTGAAGGCAACAAAAGCTTTACTAAAGTAAATGACCAACACTGATAATAATAAATATGAATATATTTGGACAAAAAAAAAGCTAATATATTAATCATGACCACAAAGAAGGAAAAAGAAAGAATTTATTACATCGGAAATATTATTTACAATTTTTGTTTGTTAAGGTAGAATCAAATAGTTTGTTATATACATATTGATTTTGAAGAAAAATGCACAATCATATTATTTGAGAAATTTTGTACGTTAAGGTAAATTTTCATGCTTCTTTCTCAATGCATTTACCCAAAAAAAAAAAAAAAAAGTAGTGGGATGAACCAAAGTAAAAAAATTAATAGCTCAAAATGCCAATTAAAGTCGCACGGCCTTTGTACTCTTCAATAATATAATATTATGAGTCAAAAAGATAAACTCATTCTAATAGATATTATTAGGTATAATTTCTCTAATTTTTCAGCATAAACAGACTCTTTAATTAAACCTCATATTTAAAAAATTCTTATAATAAGACACTTAACGTAATATATCATGTTCGAATACATAATTTTAGAGTAAATGAAGAGATTATTCTTACAATATTCTGTAAATTAATTTTTTTACATCAAGTATATTCTGCTAATTAATCTAAGAGAACAGATAATCGCATAACTTGGGTAAGTTGGAAGCAAATCCAAAAATCACAAGGAATTGAATTCTCTGACTCTCGGTTTTCTGCCGCTACTCTCCATCTTCATGCTAAAGTAAAACCTTACAAGAAGAAAAACGACTATTAATCAAGCTTTTAATTGAACCCTACTTCAATTAGGACTTTTTCATAACCATCGTGAGTTTGATAAGCTTGAATTGTCCTCAAACTCAATAATTTCTCTTACAGGCTTGCAATATTCGAGCTTGTCTTTTCAAATTATTTTCTTAGCGAAACGTAAAGGTTATGAAGAGTTAAAATATTGTTGTGAGTAACATGGATATACATCAACACCTTGTGCTTCTCTCTAAAAGTTTATTCAGCCCATATGGAAACGTTATAAATATGGCATTTGATGATTTAAATATGGCACAATTTCTTCTTTTATCGAGTTAACTAAATAGAATTGGCATACATTATTTCAAGAACTTATACTATATTATAATTTATATTTAATAGCTAAAAAATATTATTTAATGATATTTGTGTAATTTTTAAAATTTTGTATTGACCGATATTAGTGTACACGCGCAACGCGCGTACCCTATGACTAGTAAAAAAGAATGAAGTCTAAAATGGGTTAGATTAGAATCTAATATATAGTTTTGTTATATAAATAATAAATTATATATACTAATGTAATAAAGTGATAATCTCTCTAAAAGGGATAAATAAATTTATAATATAGTATAGATAGGAGGTAAAAGCAAAAATAGCACGGGCTAGCCAGTTTTCGGACTAGTCATTCAAAGATAGTCAGCGTTCTCAAAGTCATATAAAAATAGCCACTATCTTGCTGCAACACAGAAAGTTCCAGCATAATATAATGGAGAACGGTGCACCTGTGTATAAACTTCCAGGATATTATGCTAGAACTCCAACATGCAGAAAGTTTCAGTATAATATACTGGAAATTGGAGCACCAGTGCTCCAATCTCCAGTATATTATACTGGAACTCCAGTATATTAAACTAGAATATTTTTTCGGATTTTGAACAGTGTTGTCGTTTAGATATATCTTTACATGAAGAGTGGCTAAATTTTGATTACTTTTAAAATTGTGGCTATTTTTAAATGATCACTTATAAATCTGGCTATTTTTAAATTTCTCCGGTAAAAGTTGCTTACAAAATCCATATGCCTAATCCCACCATTGGGGTCAAAAGATAACGGCTGTTTGTGGGGAGAAATTCAAAAATAGCCATATTTACCACTGGTCGTTGAAAAATAGCCAAGTTTCAAAAGTCATCGAAATTTAGCCACTTTAAATCTGAGCGAAAACACTGTTCAAAATCCGAAAAAATACGCCCGCAAATTTTACGGGAGTTCCAGCATAAGTATGCTTGAACTCCCGTAAATTTTACGGGAGTTCCAGGATAACTATGCTGGAACTCCCGCAAATTTTACGGGAGTTCAAGCATAATTATGCTGGAACTCCCGCAAATTTTACGGGAGTTCCAGCAAGTATAATTGTCCAGTATAATATACTGGAGTTTGGAGCACTGGTGCTCCAGTCTCCCGCAAATTTTACAGGAGTTAGCAAAGTATACCGGTCCAGCATAATATGCTGGAGTTCGTACACAAATGCACCAGAACTCCCGTATATTATACTAGACCGGTCCCTGTTGCAGCAAAATAGTGACTATTTTTCATTGACTTGATAAACGCTGGCTATTTTTCATTGACCAGTGTGAAAACTGGCTATACCATGATATTTTAACCTGTTTGTGGGTCTCCATTGGGCCGATTGGCTCTCACCCTTATTTCGGCCTTAAACATATTCGGGTCGTAATGTTCCGACTCTTAACGCCTTAACGGACGCTCCGGCATTCCCCTAAGTGCTGGAAAACGTGAAAATCAGTAATTTGATCTCAGTTTCTTTATCCAGTATAGTTTCTCTACCGAAAAACTCAGTATGAATTTCTTCTTCTTTAAATTACTCTCCTGATTATTATTGGTTCATGTTGTGCTTTTGATAAACTGATTTGAGTCACTCGGATTCTTTTTCAGTACTCAGTTGCTGCTTAGTTCCTACTTTGGTTTCTTCTTGCATTTAACATTGATAAAAATCTGTCTTTGATTGTACTATGTACTTGAAAGAAGGATGTTCATTGCTGTTAAAAGTCCACAAAAAGTCTGTTCCTTTAATCCTCACTGTTGATAAACTTAAGAGTAAAATCCCAGTTGAGCTCAAGGAATCTGATGTGTTGAAGAGACTGAAATATGAAGAAAATATTTCCACTGCTTTAGAGTATTTCAAATGGGTTACCAATTCAACATCTTTCAAGCACACCCCTTTAACATATAAATTAATGATGGAAAAACTCGGGCAGCACAAGGAGATGGACAGTGTTCAGTACCTTTTACAACAGATGAAATTGGAGGGTATTAGTTGTTCCGAGGATATATTTATCAATGTAATCGATTCATATAGGAGAGCAAAGGCGCCAGAGCAAGCGTTAAAGACTTTCTATAGGATACAGGATTTTGGGTGTAAGCCTACGGTCAGGATATATAACCATCTCTTGGATGCATTGCTCAGCGAGAATAGGTTTCACATGATTAATCCTATTTACAGTAACATGAAGAAAGATGGGGTTGTTCCCAATGTGTATACCTATAACATTCTTCTGAAAGCATTGTGCAAGAACGATAGGATTGACGGAGCTCAGAAGTTACTTGTGGAAATGTCAAACAGGGGGTGCTCTCCTGATGAAGTGAGCTATACAACAATTGTTTCTTCCTTGTGTAAGCTTGGTAAAGTAAAAGAAGCTAGAGAAGTAGCGATGAGATTTACTCCTACTGCTCCTATTTATAATGCTCTAATAAATGGGCTTTGTAAGATATATAGTACTAAGGAGGCAGTTGATTTGTTGTATGAGATGGCTGACAAGGGGGTTGATCCTAATGTCATCACGTACACCATGATATTAAATGCATTTGCTGACCAAGGAGATATTGGTCTTTCTTTTGCCATGTTGAGCAAGATGTTTGTTAGTGGCTGTTCTCCAAATATTCACTCATTTACCTGTTTGATTAAGGGAATTTCATTGAGGGGCAGATGGCATGAAGCTCTTTACGTGTGGGATGGTATGATCAAAGAGGGAATTTCGCCCAACGTTGTAGCATATAATGCACTTCTCCATGGTCTGTGTTTGGCTGGTAATATGAATATGGCTCTGTCTGTTTGTAATGCGATGGAGAAAAGTGACTGCCATCCAAATTCGACAACCTACAGCACCCTCATTGATGGCTTTGCTAAATCTGGAGATGTGATTAAAGCATCTGAGATATGGAATAGGATGATAACTCTTGGTTGTCGTCCAAATGTTGTGGTATATACATGTATGGTTGATGTACTCTGCAGAAATTTCATGTTTGAACAAGCTTATAGTCTTCTAGATAACATGGTAATAGAAGATATCCCACCAAATACCATTACTTTTAATAAATTTATTAAAGGTTTGTGTTTTAGTGGTAGAATTGAATGGGCAATGGTGCTATATAATCAAATGGAAAGATTTGGCTGCTCAGGTAATACTGCCACCTATAATGAGTTGTTGGATGGCTTATTCAAATGTAACAACCTTACGGTAGCACTTGAGCTTGTTAGGGAGATGGAGGAAAACGATATTGTGTTTAACTTAGTTACGTACAACACTATAGCATCCGGTCTCTGCCATATGGGGATGCTTGAGGAAGCTGAAGAAGTTGTGGCAAAAATGCTGGTTAGGGGAATTAAGCCTGATGTTCTCACGTTCAACATACTTATGAATGCATACTGTAAGGGTGGTAAGGTTGAATCTGGAAAACAACTTCTAAATGCTATGAGTCCAGTGGGCTTGCATCCAGATTTCATATCCTATACTTGTCTGATAGATGGACTGTGCAGTTGGACTGGTTTGGAAGCGGCAATCTGTTGCCTTCAAAGGATGATAAATGATGGCATTTCACCCAAGATATCTACATGGAATGTTCTAGTCCGTCATTTGTTTAGCAAGATTGGTTATGGAAGTGCACTAGAGTATCTGGAGAGTATATTGGCAGCAGATTGAAGGTGTGAACTTACTTCAGGAGATTGGAATGATTGCACATAAAAGCTTTACCGTGGATATAAAAGCAGTTGTTGCAGTTTAATCATGGAGGGTCCATCTTCGGAACCTTCATTGATGAAGTGGCATTAACATCTTGGTTTGGATATATGGCTAGTAAGAATCCTTCAAAAAACAGATGTTTAACATACTCTGATCCGCAGCTTATCAGCTAAATTGACTTTTTCTATTAAATAAATTTTGCAGATGGATCCTAATTTCATTTGCTGTTGATTTCAGGGATTCCATAGACCCACTAAAAGTTCTTGCAGGTATTCAATTGTTAATATTAGCTAGGAGATTATAAAGCTTAAGCTTGTGAAGAAGTTGTTCGGACTTGGGTGCAGGCATCCAATATGGGTGTAGATCTAGAGGTCGGATCCTTCGTGATCTAAATATTAATTTTCGGGGGTATGGACCCAAGTAAGGATACGGGTGGGGGAATTCCACTATACCTGAAAATAGACCTATTTAAAATATGTGTAAATTATGAGACATTATGTGGAAAATTTATATGTAGCTTGTATAGTGCAGTAACTCAATCTTTCATTCTCAAATTATAGGGAGCCATCTAGAAATCACAGTTGCTTATGTCTTGAGAAATCAAAATGCCAAATCTTATCTCTAATTTCTTCATAGTTTGTGATCAAAGTACCCAATGTTGACTAACCAAGTCCGGTACGTATCCCACACTCATACTAGTGTCAATGTTGTGTCGACACGGGTATGACACCACAAATTAAGAGGCGGTGCAACTTAGCATGTGAATAAAACTAAAATGCAGCATAGCCCCTTAAACTAGTCTGTACCCTGACAAATTAGATAGCTCTAGTAGCAGCAGTAATGATTATAAGGTCACGCATTATGCTCTGCAGGTACCTTTTAGTGATTGGTCCCTCTGCTTCCTAATCCTCTTGCTGAAAAGGGTGCGTTTCTGGTGTGTTATTTGCTTTTTCTTCTAACTTGCTTCTTATTATATGGAGCCTGGTATATCCTGCTGTTGCACTTCAATATTTTGATACTGATAGTAAAATTGTTTATATCCATTCTGTATCGGTTGGAAGAAGTTTCATGAGAAACCCCTACCAAGGATATATCTCTTTGGGGCATCTCAAGGAGTGCAGCGTTGAACCGGGAGCCATACACATGAATTTTTGCAAGAGGCAATTATGCATAGAGTGAGAAGGGGTGATTTGCTGTAAACGATCATGTAAGCCAAAATCTCATATACAACTTCATCATTGGCATTGGCTTATTCAGTAACATTACTTGTTTTTTTTCCATCTTTTGACCCTTTTCCTGTCTGGAATGCATCTTTCACGGGATACGTGTCTTGCAATTCTGTTCTTAATTGGATAAAGCTTGAAATAGCTGGTGGTACACTATTCCCGCTTGTGTCTAATCAGTGATTTGGATAGAACGGAACACAAGATGTTTTGAAGAGAAGCAAAAATCAGTCCAGACGATTAAGTTAGATTGAATCTTAGTTAATTCACCTTTGGTGTGAAAAGGAATATGCAATTGAGGTAGAAATTTTACTCTTTCACGGAGTCCCTCTAGGATTAGAAGAGGGCTATGATTTTGGCTTTTTTTTTTTTTTTTCTGCTCACTTGTTCAGAAACTCCGGCACTGCTTTTGTGCAAAGACGGAAAAGTACTTTCGGCCGGCAGTAGAAGCAGTTTTTCTTCTTTTGCGAAGAAGCAGAAAATTCTAGCTTCTTCCAAGAAACAAAAGCAGAAGCAGAAAATTAATTTATTCAAGACAAAACTATCCTCACCATAAATTTATATTTTTTAAATTATTCCTTACTAGTTTAAGTTTTTTCTTTTCTTTTTGTTTCTAGTTTTTACAATTCTTTTAAAATTAAAGATATCATATATATGAATATATTGTAACTTTCCTTATTCTTGTTTGACTTTTCTTGTTTTTGGTTTTTTCTTTGTGTCATGTCTTGTAACTTTCCAAATTATCTTCTTCTTTTTTCACACTAAAGCAAATTATCTACACCCTTTTTGGATTATCAATTCTCTTCTTACAAATAATCATTTATAATTTCTGTTGTTATAGGCTATTAATTCTCGAATCCTTAAAATAGTTAGCAAATCCAATTTGTGAAAATTACCTACAAATAAGTAATAAATTTATAATTGCATGGCATAATCTATATATTATTTTTTTAAAAACCTCCACGTTAAGCCAAGTGACAGTCTCACCATAGGTCACTTTGCAATTTAGGAGAAAGCTACAGTAGATACTAATTAGTTTATTTTAATTTTAAGTTTAAAAAAAATTAAATTATGCATTATGTGTTGTTAATAATTAGTTACTCTTTTTGAATTGAATTTAAACATACTTAACTATTTTTTTACGAAAATAATAATTTTTTATGTATTTAAAAATTATTTATATTTTACGCTCAATGCCATCTTTCAAGTTTGACATTGGGAATCATCTTGTTACAACTACCATGGCTATACATAATTTCCTCCGATGACATTCTTCTACCGATAAGGAATTCAACTATTATGGTAATGAAGACATTACTGCAGAGATTGAGGAAAGAGATGGGTCTTCTGGTTTTCCTTTAGAAATGCAAGGCAAGTAAGGAGGCGTTGTGTGATAGAATTAAGGATGAAATTATTGAGAAATATTATCATGTGTGAGTGGCTTTGCTTATTATTTCCTGGTGAATTATCAATATATAGTAATTTGGTTTGGAGGTGGAGAATATAACTATCCGTCCAGTTGTTTTAAGTTCTAGAACCCCATTTCCGTATTTGATTCTTTGCATAGGTTGCTTTGACGTTTTATGACTTGTGGGGATAGATGGTTCAGTTTTCGAGGGGTTCAGGAGTGATTTGGGATACAGTTGCTAACTAGAGGCTTAAATTGGAAGAGTTGACCAAAGTCAACATTATGGGTAAACAACGCCGGATTGCTGATTTGAAGATTCTAATAGGTTTCGTATGATGATTTTGGACTTGTACGTATGTTCAGTTTGGGTCTCGGGGTGGCCCGAGGTTGATTTGACACTTCTAGTTGAAAGTTGGATTGTGAACTTAAGAAAGTTTGAGATGTTTGATTCTTGGTTTGAATGTTGTTTATAGTGTTTTAAGCATTTGAAGTTTGTTTATGGTATACGAACTTGTTAGGAGGATTAGACGGGGTCCTGGGGGCTCAGGTGAGTTTTAGGGTGATTTCGGATTATTTTGAGTTAAGTTTGGATGGCTGGTTTGCTGATGGACAGCAGTTCATCGCGATCTCGGAGCTATGTCTCGTGATTGCATAGAAGGGATCTGGGGGCTAGGGCCAAAATATATATATTCTTATCAGTTGTATTCTTCTTTCCATCCATTCCCTGTCTAACATAGTAGACATGTTTCTCAATGTAGCTTAACTACATATTTATATGAAGTGCTATCGATAGTAAACATGTTGATCACTGAGTAGAAGCATGATAAATTAGTCTTATAGGAGTAACGTTTTTCACCAAAAACCAATTAACATCTCTGTAAATCAAATGAAGCACATAGTTGAATTCTCTCGAATTAAGTAGTAAAGCTATAAAAATATTTTTGTTGCAAAGGAACAAATAAAATATGCTTGCTATCTTGCTTCAATTTAACCCTGTACAATTTACATAGTATTCAATTGGACAAAATAAACTGTGAATTCCCATGTGTTTCTGTTAAGTGAGTCTCCCACAAACATGTGTGTCTTGTTCCTCAAGCAGCAACCTTGGTTTAAGCCTAAAATTTAAGAAGCAAAGTGCTTGTTCCGAATATTGGACAAACACAAAAAAGAAAGGGAAATTAAGATTGAATAATCAAGAATTCAGAAAATGATCCTCCAAAAAAATCAAAAGGTGCAAATAAACAATTAAAATAAAGTAAACTTAAGCCACCTAAATTCCCGTATTATATGATAGAGCGGCTACCCTACATGTGATAAATTATAGTGAGAGATATTTTTGTGTTTTGGTGAAGATACACTAGCATATAAACGGATTTAGCACCAAACTTTTTAAGCAAAGAAACCGTAAATTTTAATAAAACCTAATTTAGACCAATATTGAAACAAGTAGAAATTTGAATTAACAATAATGAGGTCCAAATAAACGCATTGTAAAGATGAACCGCCATACAATCCCTTGACAAGATATTGAGTCAAGTGATATATAATTACATACTAAAAAAATTGTAACGAACAAACTCATGTTGACGCTCTTCAGCTTTCATCTTGATCTGTAATTTAAAATAAATTGAAATTGAAGAATAGACAAATTAAAGATGTTTATAAATATTGCAAAAAGAATAAAACTTGATACCTCAGAACAATGTAGGAATGAATTTGAACAGATGAAGTAAATACGTGGAAGCAGGTAGCAAGTTAGGAAAATAGAATTCGAAAGAATAGTCTTCGAATATAAATCCAAACTGATAAAAAAACTGTAAATTGGTATCCACATAATCTCCCTCAGTTGTCATAGAGTAAAACGATAACATTTCTCAACATAACAACATTAAATTCTATCATTAACTAATGAAAAATATTTACCTTGTCCTCTGGAAATTAAAAAATAATCTGCTATATTTGGAAATGTAGAAACGTACACAATATGAATATGCTCCAATAAGCCTTAGATAACTAATTCTTCCATTATCCTGCAGATGATTCAGCCTGTCATACTAAGACCCACAGAAAGAAAAACTAAATTATTTGATTTCTGTATATGGCATTAATTGTTTGATTTCTTTATGTGATAACCTAGAATTGAAAAAAAGGCACCGAAGAGGAAGAAGAATTTTAGGTGGCGAGTGGGAAGAGAAGAGGAGATGAAGGCATTATAAACTACATAAAGAGGAGTTTTACCGGGAATCTAGAATACATGACGTATCAAAAAATTGTTGAAGTGACAGTTTAGGAAAGGGGAATTGAACGTGAGGAGTATAACTGAAATAGAAAAATGTTACTTCAGGGTAGAGAAGAGAGGGTAATATAGCAAAAAAATGGCAAAAAAGCTGAGAGATTTGACAAATATCAATCTTGGTTCAGGACATTCCCCGTCACTCTGCTTGTAATGACTCAGCCGGTCGTTTTATGTGTTTGAGCCTCGTTCCCCTACTTGATGCTTCCCGTATGCTTGATTGTTATTTTGTAACTTGCGGAGATGGTTGGTTTGGTCTCGGAAAGGTTTTGAAGTGAATTGGAACACTCCATAGTTGGAAGACAAAGTTATAAGAGATTTGACTTTTGTATAAACGACCTTGGATTGGTGTTACAATTGTTCCAATAGGTTTGTGTGGTGATTTTGGACTTAGACATATGTCTGAATTTGGATTTGGAGGTTCTTAGGTTAATTTGGCTCTATTTGGCGAAAATTAAAAATTTGAAGGTTTGGAAAGTCATAAGTTTGACCAGGAGTTGACTTTGAGGCTAACGGGTTTTGAACATTTTGTTCCAGGAATTGGAATAGGTTCGTTATGTCATTTGAAACTTGTGTGCAAAGTTTGGGTTTATTCCGAATTATTTAGGCTTGAATCGGACGCTTGGTTTGGAGTTAGAAATTCATGAACTTAAGAGATTGATCTTGATCGATGATTCATGGTTTTGATGTTAATTTCAGTATTTTGATCCTTTGGATAGGTTCGGGGGAAGTATTAGGACTTCTGATGTGATTGGACGGGGTCCTGAGGGCCTCGGGTGTGTTTCGGAACATTTTGTAGTTGGATAGCAGTTCTGGTCTGGTGTTTTTGCACCTGCGAGGTTTGGTCCACAGGTGCAAGTCCGCAGAAGCGGATTAGGATTGCGGATGCGAAGAATAGCGGAAGGCAACAGTGTCCGCTGATGCGGATCTTTGGCGCAGGTGCGAAGGAAGGCTGCACATGCGGTTCAGCAAAAGCGAACTCTTAGCCGCAGGTGCACTGGTCGGGTACTCTAGTTAGGTGCGCATCTGCGAGGATTTTTTCGCAGATGCGGTGTCGCAGAAGCAACAGCCAGGCCGCAGAAGCGAGAAACGCTGGGCAGAACAATTTTATTCGAGGGTTTGGCTTCATTTATCATATTTTTGAGATTAGGAGCACGGATTGGGGTGATGTTTTGGCGATTTTTACCCACTTGGATGGAGTAAGTACTCTTAACTCAAATTTGATTATTATTCGTGATTCTACCCTTGATTTTGGCTTTTGGTTGATGAAATTTAAGAGAGAAAATTGGGATTTTGTGAGAAATTTTAGAGAATGAATAATTGAGATTTGAACCCCAATTCGGAGTCAAATTTGGATGAAACTTGTACATTTGGACTCGTGTTCAAATGGCTAGTCAGGATTTATGACTTTGGTCGGGTTTTGGGAAGTTGGTCCCGATTGATTTTTGGGTTGACTTTGTGCAATTTGATAAAGATTGGAACTCCATTATTTGAAATTAATTTATATAGTCGTGTTTGATGTTATTGAGTTACTTTTTACTAGATTCGAGTTTGTTTGGAGGTAGATTCATGTTGGATGGGCTTTTTGGATATTGAGTCACACGCTTTGAGATAAATAACTTGTCTAACTTAGTTTGGGGTAATTTCCCATTGGTTATGGTATTAAATATATGCTGGGGGTGACGCACGTGCTAGGTGACGGGTGTGTATGCGTACACTGGGGTTGTTCATGATTTGAGTAAATCTTAAGCTATTATGTGCCCTATTTTGCTATCATGTTCTGTTATTTCTGTGTTTTCTCTACTTGTATAACTATATGA